GGTTGCCCGGCCCTGGCCACGAGGTGTCCCTTATTTATTTTTCAGGGAGTTGGCAACCCTCTGTGTTAGCTTTGTCGAGCCGTATCAGAAATGTACCTTCAGTCACAAGCCTCTGGAGAAGACGGATTTGCTATTGACTGAAAACTGAGCTGTCACGGAAATAGTGTTTGACATGCAATGTACACGGATTTGTTTTGCTACCTGCAGCTTACAAGCTAGCTGATGAGTAGCATTTTATTTAGCAGTGATACTAAGTAACCATTTCAGCAGCTACAATGATTAATGTTTAATTACGGCCAACTCTCCTGCTTAGCACCATTAGCAGCCACACTTTATGAGGATTTGTTTAATGGATTTTATTAGGATGAGCATCCACACAAAAAGACACAGCTGCTAAGAAAGGCCACATTTGCTGTATGTACACTGCCTGTCATTTTTTTTTGTGTTGCTGTCAGTTAGTTTCATTCTTTGATTGGCAACTTGAAAAAGTTCTCCGATTACAAATACAAGAAACTGAGTCTACAATCAAAATAAGAATCTTGACACGTATGCCTCGACGTGCCGGATTGACAGACAGCAGTCAATGCAAACTGACAACTGGTGCTCGGCTGATCAAAAAGTGAAAACTCTGAATGGGTGTTGATTTTCTTCGTAACATGGAACACAGGTGGACTTTAAATATGTCTTTGTTCCCTGGCAAGAAAAACCTCAACTACAATTCAAGTGGCCTTTACTTGAAGCAACCACATCATAATTGCAAAGACAACCATGCAACTCACTGCCCAGAAACTGTACGTCTGCGAAAAGAGATCTGTCACTTTTTGGCTTTTTTTTTCTCTTTTTCAAAGTAACAGGAAGTGCCAAGAGACTTAGAGAAATGCTGCAGAGCAGATACTCAGAATCAGAGAGAGGAAGAAAATAAATCATCAGAAGAGTTTTAAAAAATCTTGACATTTCGGCATATGGCATGAGTGACAGAGCAAGCTCAAACTCAAAGAACACTTCTGAATGTTGCTGGCAATGACCAGCGTAGAGCAGTATAATAAATTGCATAAATTAACAATTAACTGAATAATGTTGTTGGAATTTTTTAATGTGACCATTACACCCTGCAGCAAAGATGCCCGCCTGGGCTTTTTCTGCGTTGTTTCTGCCTAAAGACCTCCTGGAGGAACCTCCAGGGCTGAAAAATGAAGCAAACACAAGTTCCAAAGACTGCACTTCCTCAAGCAGGCACTTGGCGTTGCCTCCAAATGAATGGATGTGACTACTGCTTTCTTTATATTTTAGTTAAACCACAGACTGTATATGTTTTTCTCATGATAATACTAATTTTTCATCTAAACAGACAAGGTGTTGCATTCCAAGACAAGTCAGATTTTAATTTGAGAGCATGAGAGCAAACCCTCATAGCACCCTATTACCCAAACAGAACACCCCACTCACAGACTGCAGGCTTACTTATAGGTCCCAGGGTTTCTAAAAGTAGAAGTGGTAGACAGAGCTTTCAGCTATCAAGCTCCTCTCCTTTGGAGCTAGAACTCCCAGTTTGCATTCGGCAAAGACACATCTTCCCTACTTTTGAGCTTTTTTGACATAGCTTATAGCCAAAGTTAAATCAGGTGACCATGAACCTTTTTTTTCTTAATTATGCCGCTACCAGGCAGACTGCTGGAGGACTTCCCATGACAAACCAAGCATTGGTCACTCCCTTTTTTTTTTCTTTCCCTGTGTGTTTCTGTGCCACTATTGCCATTTTTGTACAGCGCTGTGTGACCGATTGTCTGTGAAAAGCGCTTAATAAATAAACCTTACTTACTTATTATGTTATAAACTGTCTCCACTATCAATTAGGTTGCATTTTGTCCCCCCCAAAGGAAAACAAGTGGCAGCAGATGCCTGCCTCTCCCTGAGTCTGGCCTATTGGAAGTCTGTTCTTATCAAAAGGGAGTTCTTTCTCCCTCAAGTCGCCGAGTGCATGCTGTAAGGAATTGCCAGATCTTTTGTGATCTCACTCTATATTACCTCACAATATAAAGCACTGTAATATCACCTTTTTGGGGAACTATATAAATAAAAGTGAATTGAATTAAGTCTTTAAATCCTTTAAACTGAACCTGTAATACATGGATGCAATATGAATATGACACAGACAGAACTACGTTAGCAGTTACAGACATCTGGAATCTCTATCACAGATTGCAAACCTAACTCTCAGAAGGACTCTGGCAGTATTAGAAAAGTCATTCTCATGTCACAACATATCATACAGACATCAACATAATCATCTCTGGGAACGTTCACATTTAATCATCACTTCTAACGCACGAGTAAATGAAAGCCATTCATCAGACCCACGCCTAAGTGTGACTCTTATTACCAGGCTCTTATTAACCATCTGTGTCTTGCAACATGGTGCAGCAAATTTAGCAAACCACAGGCTAAAGAAAAGAAGTCCTCCTCACCTTGGTCAGGGCTTGGTCGGTCTTCTCTGGGGCGCTGCGGTGCGCTTGAGTGACATCGCTGAGGGGCAGGGGCATGTATTGCAAGGTAAAGTTGCTGTTTGTTGCAGAGCGAAGGAAGACAAAGAGGGGCAGATAGAAAGACAACATTACCCTGGCAATAATAAACTGGAGAAACTGATGTTAACAAGAACAAACAGGAAATGCCCGGGGCACTTATAACAGCTGTCTGCAATTCCCTAATACGCAAATACACCAACACACCCTTGTACACACAGACAGAGATGCGCGGGTACAAACTTCACGCCCACACTTATTTGACTGGCACACACGTCAGGAGAATGATGAAACATTCTGTAATCGCTAACATCACGCAGAGATGGTTATCTGCCTTTCATATGGGTGTGTGAGTGATGCGTTTCATGTGTGTGTGCGTCCGCCCTCTTCAAAAGGATGTTGGTGTGCTGCGTTGCGTTCGTCTTACTGCTCCAACGCTCTCGCCACATCTTGGAAGCCTGTCGCCGTGGTGTTGTTGCGATCCCACGTCACACTCCTGAGAGGGATTAAAGCAGCGGGAAATGGGGTAAGACCAGCACCGAGAGGAGGGAAAAGGAGAAGAGGATCGGTTGCTTTCTAAAGTGCCTAATCCACATTAAAATCTCACACAGATACATCAAAGTGACAGTACTTCTGTGACCACGCAGGACAGACATAAATATTAAGATATTCGTCAGAGCTTTCTTTTAGCTAGGTGTATGGTATCCCAACATTAGAGATGCATGAACAACTGCCGTGCCGCTAATGAGCTTCTGTTATTTCGCAGAGCAGAATTTCCACCT